GGATTCAGAAAAAGATGTTGAAATGTCTGAAAGGTCGAACACAGGCGAGAGCGTATCGGGAGACGGAGACCAACAAGACCTCCCTCATCCTTGGCCCTATCTCTAAGAAATTTTAGAAATAGTCTAAGAATTGAGCTTTCAGTTCATATAGTGGCATCTGGCTGTTTTTTTAAAGATTACTTTATACTTTTATACTTTCAGTAGTATTTGGAGCACATACTTTTTCACTTTTACTTGAGTAAAGAGGTCAAGTTGATACTTCAACTTTTACCAGAGTGTTTTTAAACTATATCTATATATAGATACTGCAGTTTCTATATCTATATATCTATATATCTATATAGTATTCTACTGCAGTAACAAATGTGTGAACTTGTGACACCACTGTAAGAGATACAATAAAGTAACACCTTCATACTATCGCATAAGTATAAGTAGTATTATTTAATCTGACATGTATACTGTGGTCGCTGAAGATAAGAATATGGGCCTTCTGTATGGAAGTGAATTTCTAAGTACCTGGAACCAAGCACCTGTAGTTGTTTGGGCCTCAGGGCCATGAGGCCCCTGGGGCGACCCACCTCTAGACGATAACCTCGCCTGGGCAACGGGGGGCCAGGCCCTGCAGAGCAGCCACCAGGAATAAGCCAGTACCGGCCCGGGCATCCACCCCAAACACCGAGCTCCACCAGTGCACCAGCGAGCCCAGGCACCAGTCATCGGAGGGAGAGCAGGACGGGGGGAATGGGCTCCGCACTTGGGGGAGTCTTGAGATGTTCTTGGGAGAGGGAGCAGTTCAGACCCCAACCTGGGAAACTAAAAGTACTGGTGGGGACATGTCCACACCAGTCCTTCAGAATGTTACGCCAGTGAACCTGTTGCTGTTAAATGTGACAACAAAGATTATGTCTAAAATATCTAAAATAGCTTGACTATGGGGAAATCAAACCAAGATTAGAGAATGTCTTTTCTCATTCACCCCATAGTGAAGATTCACACATGCAACTTACAGATGAACTTCTTTTTAATCAGCTGAAATATTAAAATTTGTTTTTTGAAGCAGCAAAATCCCTAGTAGTATAACATCATGAAAAAAATGTACAGGCTTTTCTGCTTAAAAAAAAAAAAAAAAACAGAAAAATGTTTCTGTGCTGAAGATATTCTGCAGGAGCCGCTTTTCTGGACAATCAGCTCAGTGGTTCCAGTAGAGGATCCTCAGCACAGAACCAGCTTTCTGGATCAGTTTGTTCAGCAAATAAGCAAGAATTGCACTTTCTAAAACAGACTTAGAAAAGATAGGCAACGCAGCTTATATGGCTATTGGTAAGATTGGATCTCAGTTTCTTTATAAATAAGAATCTCCACCTATAGGCTATTCAATAAGGGTGATTCTAACACTTGTTTAGTAAAAATTTAATCAATAATTTCAATGGAGGAGAGAGGAAGCACTGAGGAACTATCATGAAAGCCATAGATACTAAAAGTAGACCTTTTCTAGCCCAGACAGGAAGTGTTTACCTTTTTTAATTAGAATTAGAATTTTTAATTTTTATGACAAATGAGAAATATATGAGGCATTCTATCCCAGTTGCAGTATTTGTTTTTGGTATGGGTGAAGATAAAACAACTAAATCAATCAAAAAAAAAAAACCAACTTAGTTTCTCTGTTAGCTTGAAAAACATGTACTGTTCACTAAAATTAAGACACATTTAGAGGGTAATCCTATGGGAAGGTGGATTTTGCTTGATGACAAAAATCTTCATCAAGTAAAGTTTTTATATTTTTGGTTTACAGCATCTGATTAGCCTTTGTCTTACATGTTCCACCAATAAAACGCAACAATAATGTTGGCGAAAACCCAAAAACGGGCCGTTTTTTTCGGCTTGGTTTTCCGTTTTTGATTTGTAAATGGAAAAACGGAAAAACTGAAGTAGAATCCTATGAAGGACCAACTCTTCATCCTATGAAGACGAAGGTACTTTTTATCAGTTTGATTAAACGGTATAATTCAACATGGAAAAAACAGAAAAACGGTCGTTTTCTCCGTTTTCTCCTCAGAAAACGATTCGTTTTCCCGTTTTGTGGTTTCTGCACATAAAACCAAAATCCAATAAACGGCTTGATTTTTGTTTTTTCGTTTTCGCCCCCAAAACGGAAACACCAGTCAATTTTCGGTTTCAGAAGTGGGCGTGGCTTTCAAGCCCGCCGGTCCNAGATGTTCTTGGGAGAGGGAGCAGTTCAGACCCCAACCTGGGAAAAAAATAAATAAAAATACTGTGGGGGACATGTCCACACCAGTCCTTCAGAAAGTTACACCAGTTAACCTGTTGCTGTTAAATGTGACAACAAATATTATGTCTAAAATATCTAAAATAGCTTGACTATGGGGAAATCAAATCAAGATTGTTAAAATCATAGAATGTCTTCTCTCATTCACCCCATAGTAAAGGTTCACACATGCAACTTACAGATTGAACTTCTTTTTAATTATAAATTGAATTATAAAAATTTGTTTTTTGAAGCAGCAAAATCCCTAGTAGTATAACGTCTTGAAAAAAAATGTTAAACCAGCTGTTTACAGGCTTATCTGCTAAAAAAAAACAACCCAGAAAAATGTTTCTGTGCTGAGGATATTCTGCAGGAGCTGCTTTTCTGGACAATCAGCTCAGTGGTTCCAGTAGAGGATCCTCAGCACAGAACCAGCTTTCTGGATCAGTTTGTTCAGCAAATAAGAAAGAATTGCACTTTCCAAAACAGACTTAGAAAAGATAGGCAATGCAGCTTTTATATTTATTGGTTAGATTGGATCTCAATTTCTTTATAAATAAGAATCTCCACCTACAGGCTATTCAATAAGGGTAACACTTGTTTAGTAAAAATGTAATTAATAATTTCCATGGAGGAGAGAGGAAGCACTGAGGAACTCCCATGGAAGCCACTATAGATACTACAAACTAGATGCTTTTCTAGTCCAGACAGGAAGTGTTTAACTTTTTAATTAGAATCTTTTTAATGACAAATGGGAAATATATGAGGCATTCTATCCCAGTGGCAGTATTTGTTTTTGGTGTGGGTGAAGATAAAACAAGTAAATCAATAAAAAAAAACGTTGTTTCTCTGTTAGATTGAAAAACATATACTGTTAACTAAAAGTAAGACGCATATAGGGAGTAATCCTATGGAAGGTAGATTTTGCTTGATGCCATAAATCTTCATCAAGTAAACTTTCTATATTTTTGGTTTACAGCATCTGATTAGCCTTTGTCTTACATGTTTCACCAATAAAACACAATAATGTAATAAAGCTCACATCTCTACAATAAACTATCATGTCGTGAAGTAAAAAGATCATTTTTTTATTCCAAAGACATCTCTACGCTTCATTGTTTTTTCTTCAGGCTTGCATTATGTTACGCTTATAACTTTTTTTTTTTTTTTTTAACAAAAGTATAAAATCATTTGGTCTGTAAATACATGACGTCAAGTCTTACAGGCTTAAGCCACACATATGGTTATAAGGCAACAATAAAACAGAACGACACAAACAAACAAAAATAAATAAATAAAATAAAAAGACAAGGGGGCATTATGTTAGGCGTTTATCTAGGCTTTTATTTTGAAATATTGTCCTGCACTTCCGGGCAAGCCGGCAAACCATCTTCATCTTTCAACTCTGAAAAAGAAAATGCTAAATGGAATTGGCGAAAATCCAAAACCTGCCGTTTTTTTCGGCTTGGTTTTCCGTTTTTGATTTGTAAATGGAAAAACTGAAAAACTGAAGTACATTTCGTTTTTGGTTTTGGTTTTTTTAAGAAAAAAAAAACGAATTGCCTGAAAGTACACGGACCAGTTAAACCTCAGTAGTTTATCTAGTTGTACAGCAGATGGTGATCTCTGACCTTGTTTGACTTCACCGTCCAACCTTCAACATAAACAACTTTCCTTCTGCTTCATTTACTTTCATTTAGAAACAGGGTTTGTTGGAACAAACAAGCAGAAAGTCGACAGAGTGAAGCTGATGAAATGGCCGCTTCAGCTGATATTTCCACCTCAGGTCAGAAATCTTTTTATAAAACTTTCCCTCAAACTTTATATTCATGGTTTATAATCTAGTAAACTCTTACTGTAGTGGATAAATTCATTAAATTCAGAGACTTTGGCTTTAAACGGAAAGTGAAGGTCAAACAAAATGGCTTCTTCTGCTTTTCTAGATTTTCTTATGATGGTTTTTAATTTCTAGAAACACCATTGGTAATTATCTTTATTATTGTTGTAATAGAAATTTATAGTTGAATTAGAAAGTATTTTCTCTGATTGATTAATTTAAAATAGATGTTTATAAACTGTGTGATAAAAATAAAGCCTTACCTCTCTTAACAGCACTGAGCCGCCCTGCTACAGAAATGAGGATTGTGTTGATAGGAGGAAGATATGATGACCCTTCCAGCGGTAAAAGCTCAGCTGGAAACATCATCCTGGGTCACAATGTTTTTGACACCAGCAGAAGAACAACTCAGAGTGAAGCGAGGCAGCAGGAAGTACTCGGCAGACGACTCACAGTGGTTGATACTCCTGGATGGTGGTGGCATTATCCAAGAGAAGAAACCCCAAAACTGGATCAGATAGAAATCCAGAATAGTGTCCATCTGTGTCCCCCAGGACCTCATGTCTTTCTTCTGGTCATTCCTGTTCGTTCTAATTTCTCCCAGCATGTCAAACCATCTCTAAAGGAACACCTGGAACTTTTCAAAGCAGATGTTTTCAGTCACACCATCGTGCTGTTCACTGCAGTCCATCCATGTAGTGATGAAACCATTGAATCAGAAATCAGAGGAAGTCCAGTCCTGCAGTGGATCCTTCAACAATGTGGAAACAGAAAACATGTTCTCAACATCAGCAACAGAGAAGATAGAGATCAAGTCAAGATGCTTCTAGAGAAAATTGAGG